GTCGTTTATCTTACACTGATTCCTTATCTCCTACTCTTTCTTTGCTTTTCTCATTTTCTTTCGGTATGCTTACCTGTATACGGATATCGCCATGCTTACAAGCATCCAATGGAAACCAGTCATCAATGTGTCCATTCTTCTTGATATTGATTAGATCAATTTCCAGCCTTCCCAATTCCTCATCACTGCTGACGGTGTCCGAATCAAACAGTTCCATACGCAGCTTCTGGCCATTTGCCTGTTCAACAACAAATTCGAAATACTCATTCCACACTGGATTCAAATCGTTGTCAATTACACGAGTCTTGTAGAACTGCGAACCAACTGAAATGCGCCCAATGTTACAAACTTGGTTGGCAGCGTAGTCAAAGATTATCTGAGTTGGTGCAGTCAACGTTATTAATGTGCCAATTTGCATAAATCATTGAGACCTCACATGATACAGACCCCAGTTGAGGGTATGCAATTGATGGTCGGGTGGTGTCGAAAACACAGTTGCAATCCGCGATTGGGAGCATCTCAGCAAATTATTGATATGATATTGCTCTTTCTTTCTGTATTCTATAGCGCCTTCACCACTTCGGCTTCCAAGGTTAATCTGGATGCTACAATCGGCTTGATATGAGATCCACTCACCGACTACGGTGCAGATGGGCATGGTATTTCTAGTCTTGAAACGAAGACGACTATTTCTGGAAGTTGCTATTGGGAATTTTACGGATATTTGTTCCTCCATTCAAAAAAACTGTGGACGAATAATGCCGTCAGAACTCCCGGTGTAGAACCATCAACGTTATCTAAAAGCAAAGAAAACAAAAGGTAACTGGAAAGGAACTTGCCATGAATCTCACAGTATGGGTCACTTGCCGACTTTTTTGTAAATTGAATATCTCTATTTTCCAGATTTTTCGCCTCAACAACCTTCAGACGCAGCACACCATCTGGTTCTGGGAAGTAAAGCTGGGTAACATCCACATCCGGAGCCAGTGACACAACAATTTCGTTGGGAAGCACACAAAGGCTTGAAACCTGCAACAGCATGCCCTTTCAAAGAAGCCAATTCCAATGAAAACTAAACTATGTGGATCTTCGTTATTACGCTTCATAAGCAACAAATAGAATCAATAGTAAGGTAAGCATGGGGCAAGTTTAGGTAGTATTGCCCTGTGAAGACCAAGGGTTCGAATAAGACAATGAATGGAACACCCACCAGTCCCTCTGCAAGTCGTTCATTCGTTTCGACGATAAATGGTACTAGCATAGTCAAAGAGTCAAAACCATTAGCAGATTCCTTACAATCCTCTGAGGAGGTGGCCTTCAGCAATCTTGCGCTGGTTGGTTGATGGTGGCATGTGCTACTCTTCAGGCTAATTTCTGAGTGCTCCTCACATTTGTAGTGAAATACGAACAGTTTAGTCTCTCGACAAAATCCAAAAGAAGTCGCAAACTCGCAAAATTATCGAAAGCCGCTTTATGTTATCTGAGAAGTAAACGAAATATTCAGCTTCTGGAAGATTAAACACAAACCTTAAAAAGCTGGGAGAATTAATAAACTGATAGAAATTCTTACTTGGGTATCTATAATGGCGCGAATTGCATTCAGCAAACCAGGCAATTCGACAAATTCACCCATTCCAGTCAAATTAAAATCAATTTTCTAAAATACGATCATAAGTGGACTTAAAACAGTTCAAAAAGCGCAGTGAAATATCTCAGAATAAATGGCAACGCGCACCAGACTAGCCGGTGCGATCATGCGTTTTGTGCAATTCAGCCCA